GCAGGCAGCTCTTTGGTCAACGTATTATGGAGCTGTAGCAGCCCTACATCAAACCTTTCCCTCTTCTACATCAAGACCTGAATTGAAACCAGAATTTTGCCTCCTCATTAATGACCTCATGACCCTAATGACCTCATTTAGCTCTGACAGTGACACCAGCATCACATGAGAGCTCTGAACATGTGACGAGGAAACCACTGCCTGATTTGTCACAGCAACTGATTCATAATGTCATGTTTGTGTCTCTGTCACCTGGTACCAACATCAACAGCTCTCCAGATGGTGCAGATTCAAAATAGTCAAAACTTCAGTGTTACCTCAAGGGAAAGGACAAGTTTTTCCAGATCTGAAGAAGGAACTGCTGCTCCATGAGACAAATGCTGCAGCTTAGGGTCAGTGGCTGCGCTCCAAGCTTCAGGAGGATCCTCTACTCCTCCCTTCCAAAACCTGTTCTTCTACACGACACCAAGAGAACAGGACTTCAAAGAAGTTATTTCTAACTAAAACTGTCATGAGCTTTCCAGGGATGTAGATGCCAAAATTTTTAATGTCCCAAGAAATTAGCTTCCATCTCCAGAAAAATAAACCCACCCCCTAATCAGGATGGGAATGGGGTATTTAGGCAGGAGACAAGGAGTGCCCTGTCCACATTTCCAGCAGACAGTGCCATGGCCAAGTGCTACATTTTGTGTTTACTCTGATGCTCTTCTGAGTCCTGCCCAGAGGACCCAACAGCCCTTCCCCAGAGAAGGAGAAGACAGGAATTTCTCATGCCTGTTCTCAGGCTCTGCCAACTGGAATAATTTCAGCCACATATTTCTACTCATCATATTAAAAATGGCAACATTTATGTTAGTGAAATTCCTTTCACTTTGGGAAAGAGGAAGAGGAGGATTTGAGCACATACCTCAGGATATAGACAGACCAACCCAGCAGCATTATGATAAAGTGTTTATTCATTTTTTTAAATATCAAATGTTTTTACACATCAATCTTGTTGATAAACAGTCCCCCAATATTAAAAAAAAAATCAAAAAAGGAATCAAGTGTGTATTACTTTGGGCAGAACCACATCCCTCTGGTGACACACCCACTCCTCCCTCCAGCCGTGCGCCAGGACAGCCACAGCATGTTCAGCCCACAGGAGTCACTGACACAAATGCAACCAGCTTTAGGATTCCTGAGTATTGATTCCCTCAAGTTCCCTAAGTGAGTCTGTAAAACTCTGAAGCTAAAAAGCATCAGTCAAAGCGGAGCCCAAATCACTGTGTGTCTGGAGCACAGACTAAGCCTTGACTACACAGTGCAGGAGGAAATCTCTTGAACGCTTCAGAGGGGAATGATGTACATGAAACCAACCCAATTTCCCAAGCTGACTTCTGAGAGAGACAGGCAAAAACCTCTGGACATCTCCTTTTTGGATTCCTGTTAAAGTTCTGGGAGCTGTTTGGCAAGAAGTCCAAGTCTGGTGAAGAAACCCCTAGGACCTGCTCCTCCTTTTATTTGCTAATGGCATAGTGTTTTAAAGAAAACTGTAGCTGAACATTCAGCAAGTACACTCCAGTATTGCTACTTTTGAGGAGAGGAGACGGCACAAGGGAGAGACAAAGACAGAAAGAGACGAACACTGAGGAAGTACAGGTTAACAGTCCTGGAGACCAAGTGTCTATGTAGAAAGTGAAACATAGGCAGCAACCAGGCAGAGACTGTCACAGTCACAACACAGCTCAGCTCTGTCCAGCAGCAGGTGAACATGCCAGGGACCACCACCAGGAAATATTCTCTTGTCAGTCACCTGTGCCTAGAAATTCCCAGATGTTGGGCTTTCACTAAACATCACCTCTACACTCACTAAGGGCCTCGTTACAGAGCCATGTGTTCAGCAAGAGGCCACGGCAGTTCCTTCTGAATCTTTAAGGAAAATAATACATCCAAGAAACCAACAGCAGCTCCAGGGAACACCCAGAAACAAGTTCTACAGACCCACACGGGTCCCCAGTCACTGACAACTTTACTCTCTAGAGCTGAACTTTCATGGTGAAATCCCTTTGCTAAACTGATGTGACATCAGGACACTGGAGCAGTGATTAACGAGTAGGGGGAAGAGAAGAGAGCGAAGTGCCTGGTTCCAGGCCAGGGTATGTGGCTCCTTGGAAACCTGAACAGCTTTTGGTGGTAGCATTTATCCCCTGCCGTAGCACTCTGCCATCCCTCCTTCCATAGAAATATTCCCGCTCTGTGGGCCAGGTCAGCACAGGGACCAGCAAAGGGGCTGCTGGGGGCAGAGCAGGGGATGTGTGTGCATGCAGCAGAGAGGACACATGTTGAAACAAAGACAACTTTTAGACAACATTCGCTGAACACACATTCTATTACATTTTATTTTAACCTTAAATACTCACCACTGCCCCTGTTTTCCCCTAAATCTTGCTACTGAACAAATCACTCACTAATTTAGCAGCGCGTAGCCATTCACTCAAAACGAGGCTCTGAAATTATTTAAATCACCAGGCTTGGACCTACTTGATAAAAGTTTCACAAGTATTTATCAGCTGGGGGTCAGGGTTTGTTTCTAGCAGTTCAGAGTTACCCAGGGAATTCTAGCACTATGGATAAATGCTTCCACACAGCTTTGGCAGGAGGGCAGGTTTCAAAAATTATATTCGACAAATAATAAAACTGAGCATTGAAGCAGGTTGGCTGATGCTCTAAAGCTTTTATAGCATAAATTCCATATATGTAGCCTAAGTCAATGTGGCCATGAAACTAGAGCCTGTCACCAGCCTGGGGCAGAGCAGCAGCACTTGGGGAGCTGTGAGTAACAGCTTCCAAACAGAACGAGTGTGAATACAACAAGGGGCTAACACTGAGGAACTAACACTGAGGAGCTAACATCTGATGCTCCAAGCAGCTGGTAGTACATCCACTCACAGGCTAAGGGTGCAGGTTCAGTTTTCCTGCATCCAAGAGGGCTGACCTGCAACTAGTACTGTGTTATCCTGCTCCCAGGACCATCTCCCCCAGCCCTGCAGCACGGATCATGAGCAGATTGGGTTGTTCAGACTGAGGATGCTCTGGACCTGAGAGTTGGAAGCCTCATTGTTGCTGTTCCTGACAGTGAACCAGACGCAGATGGGAACGGTCTGATAGATCTTACTTCCTAAGGCTTCTAGATGACATTGTATTCCTGTGCTAGCCTACATGTTGCCCTGCACAGAGGGGCTTTGCTGATTTGAGGTGCTCATTGCAAGGACAGTATTAAACATACCTTCAGCAGGGGTAACTCTTACCACCTGCCTGCTGAAGGTGAGAAAGCTGCAGTCTGACCTCAGTAACTCATTTTGAGCAGAGCCTCAAGTGAAGCACTGGATGCTGCTCCAGCAAGGGGCTCCCAGGCTGCCCAAATGGCTGAGAAAAATCTGACACCAGCGTTCACTGGCAGCAGAAACTCCTGTGAGGTGGCAGATGAAACCAAATCTGTGTCGTTTTCAAATGCTACCTGCATGAAAACAGCCCAGCACACACTTAGGCAAACCTGCTAAGCAACAGGGAAAGCGAACACCAGGACACAGGCCTGAGACAATGACAACACCACATGGAAGTCATGAACAAAAACATGTGTCAGGCACGGCTGAGCCATCGCTCCAGGGTTAGCTCCACGCAGCAAGTTCAAGATTAACACCTGACACAAAGCCACTTCTGAGATTCCCAAGTGGGACTAAATCAAAGTTCCTACTTAAAATTTGGTTTCAGCCACACTTTCCTTCCCCTTCCCCAGCAATGACAGAGTTTTGGGGCTTTGCAGAGCATCACAAAGGAGTTCATCCCCCAAAAAAAAGCATCTGGAAAGGACTTCCTACAGCACAGCCTTGGTGAGGCCTCACCACGCAGGCGACTCACCAGGGATGTTCCAGAAGGCCACGATGGTTGTAACGCAGACGCCACAACAGTGCATTTGTTTCATGAACCCTGTTGGGGAGCCCTCGCTCTGGAGGAGATGTTAGATCAGCACCCCCATCCAAGAGGCTGATCATCCCCAAACATCCAGAGAAACCAGTGCAAAGCAGAGTCTTCCTTTCGGTCACAGCTGCGCTCGGAGCACAGGGAGCACAGCCACCGAGATGAAGTTCACTCCTCCCTGGGCAGAGGGGCAGTAAGAGCCCTAACACGCAGTTGGTTTGTAAAACAAATTAATCGTTAAGGTTTTGCCTGGACGTGGTTGAGCTTGTTCTTTTGCATGGGAGAAACATGATGAGGGCAAGGCTAGAAAAAAAAACGTCAAATACTCCTTTTCCCTCCCCTCATCCCCTACAGTTAATACCAGCACATCTCCAAATAAGTTAAAACATCTCTTTTAAGTTTTGGTAGCACCAAATTCTAACCCTTCCCTTCTTCTATCCCCATGCTGTAAACTGGAACACACTGGCCCAAGAGCAGAAAAGAGTTTGGCAAAAATAAGCATCAGTCTTCCCTGTGCACACATGAAAACACACACTCCCCAAAAGCCCCTCACCCCTCTGGCAAAGCCTTATACATCCATGGGCATCTACACACCTTTAGTAGCTGCAGGATAGTTTCGACAGCTGGACGTTGGGCTACAGAGAGGTACAACAGATCGAGCCCACCCTGGACCTGGTGTGCACCTCCTGGCCCGTGCACGTGGCCAACTCACGTCACAACCCGCTTTGTGCTGGACAGGGTGGTGAGTGCAGTGGCTTCTGCTTTTTATTTGTAGGACTGGAGTTTATCCTAAAATTGTACATTTAAATAAAAACAGCAATTTGAATCCAGTATGCATAATTCAAAGCTACCCTGTCCACACAATGCTAGGACATCTTCTTTCTTTTCGAAGGCCAAATCTAATGAGTGAAACAGAAGAGACAAGTTATTTTGGCTGCAAATAATTAAAAATATCTGGCTCAACATTCTGCTTGTACATTGTGGTGTGCAATTGAGATACGTCCTGTAGAAGACCCCCCAGTCAGCTCCCTCCTCCGCAGTTACGTGGGAACGACGATACTCTTGGCTAGCAAAATGAGAAGAGCGAGATCTGCATTTCCATCCGCTTGTTCCAAGGCCTCAAGAGCTTCCCGTGAGGTAAAACCAGCGCCAAGGATGCGGTCGACATCAGCCGCAGGGAAGGCAGGGGGTGCAGAAGCTCCAGTGGTCAGTCTGGTGTAGGCAGCTGGTGGGCCCCGGGGCAGCTCCTCAGGATCAGCACTGCTGCTTCTCCCAGGGGCTCCTGTGCACAGGCCCTGGGTATCCTGAGCTGCACCTTCAGCCACAGCTGGTGTCAGGGAAATGGGTGTGTTTTGCTCTAAAGTTGGACTAGTTGGACTCCGAGAACTTTCTGCCAACCCCTGCCCCTGCTCAGGGTTCTGCTGCTGGCCAGGTGTGACTGTAGAACTTGCCATGACCAGACCGCTCTCACCTGAGCCCTTCTGCCTCTCTGAAGCAACTTCCCTGAGCACAGGCTGCCCGTGGCCGCTGGGCCCAGTGCTGATGTGCTCTCTGCCAGAAACACAAGGCTGGCTGCCCTCTGCTCTTCCATCCTCACACCTCTCCTCATGGAAGGAACAGCTCTGGTCCTGGCTGGCTGGATCGAAGCCTTTCTGCTCACCCTCAGGAAGTCCCTCCTGCTGTACTCCTGACTCTCTGTGAACCATTTCCAGCCGGGACACTTCTTCCGAGGCAAGGATCTTACATTCCCCTTTCCGACTGATAACCAAGAGTTTGTGAAGCTCTTTCAAGGCTGATGCTAGAGGGAAACATGGCTCTTCTGAAGGTCTTCCTGGATCCATGTCCAGATGGTGGGTGCTGGAGGGGGAAGAGCTGTCTTCAGCTGCCAAATCAGACAACTCACGATACTTAGCAGGAATTTCACTAGTGCTTTTAGACTGCAGGACACCAACAGTGGAAAGCGGATCACTTGAGGAGGATAGAGACTTCAGCAGCTCCACCTCCACAGAAAAGGTGTCTGAGTTGAGGGTGGATACATGTCTGTTCTCAGCCTGATGCTTCTGCTGCCTTGCTGAGCCATGTGCTTCAGCTGTAGCCTGCTCCACTGCATCTATTTCCATGGAGGCTTCCGTGTGCACACAGCTACAGGAGGCTGACAGCTGGATACTCCCTTTTGCACAGGAAAGACCTGCTCTCTCCAGTCTATCTCCTCTTGTTTCCATGGGATGATTTTCCAGCTGGCTGGCTTCTCCCCCAACAGGTTTCTCAACCCCACCAACACCACAAGGAGGTTCTGGGTAACTTGTCTCAGTTTTCTCCTCCAGATGTTCCATTTCTGGCTCTTTGCACACCTGACGGTCTATGGGAGGCTCATGCTTTTGCTCCTGCTCCATGAACAGACAGACATCTTTATCTTGCCCACGCTTGGCAGCAGTGTCAGCCAAAATACCTTCTTCTGTCACTTCCAAAGGATGTTCCTGACCTTGATCCTGTCCTTTAATGTTACATTCCTTTAGACTGTCAGCAATAAATGCTTCTTTGAGTGTCTTCTGTGAAAGGCAAGCTGGATTGGAACAGGCTCCCTCCTCGGTGTGGGGAGAGAGGTCATTATTTGCCAAGGAAGAGCTACTGGAAAGATGCTGTAATACCAGAGGTTGCTCTTTTTCTGGGGCTGTCTGGTGTTCGGGTGACAAGTCCAAAGTCTTGATGGCTCTAGGATCAACGCACTCTGCGAGGCTGGATTCAGATGAGCAAATTGAAGCAGGGGCAGAGACAGAACGATCAAGTAATTGATGATTTGTAGGATTACAGATCTTGGAATTTAGTCCTGAAGACTGGACTGGATTTTGAAACCCATCAGAAGCTGGTAATGAGGGCATTTCCAGTGAGGTAGTTTCTTTGTCACTATTCTCTATCAGAAGACAGAAATAGAGGACACTGTCAGGACATTGCAGAATCACCGTCTGCACGGTAGTAGCAAAACCGAAACAGGTGACTGTAAATACCTGGTCTGTGGCCCACTCCAGCTGCAGTAAACACACACTACATGCATCAAGGCTTCTGACGTTCTGTTTGGATTAGGAAACAAACACACCAAACTCGTGTTAGCATTCAGAGCACACACCATGCATGGCTGCAGTCCTGCACAGCTCCCCTCCCGACTGCCCAGCGTGACAGCAGGAGCTCTCGCCTTCACTGCCTCTCAGAAGGATTCTGCCTTGGAAATTTGGTATGTCAAGTCCAAAATAACTGCCAGAGAACAATTTAAAGGCTGTTCTGTACTGTCTAGGCCACAGAGCGGTCTGTGGGTGATGCTACACACTCGATAAACCACACACGGCAAAACGCTGTGCTGGTCTGATCTCCAGCTGGTGGGAAATATTCAGGAGACACATTTCAGGGAAATGAGAACTCAGATGGCAAGACAGTTCTTGGGCTGGGCTCCCAGCAGTGCCATCACAGGCATGAGAAGGTGAGCAAACTCTAGCCTGCTGCAAAAGGGAAGTGTACAGATCCTGGGGGGAAAGAAATCCCCCAAAGGAACTGCTGTCCCAGGCCAGGAGAGCAAAGCAAAGGAGAAACAGCCACAAGGCAAGCCCAGCTCACTGCTTCCTTCTCCCCACTGAGAGTGGATGAATTGCAGATCTCTATCAGTACACCAAACAGTGGCTCTGGTTATCAGGGAGATTAGATAAGTGACCTTATCCTGCTGTCAGTCTAATCTAGTTGATATATCAGTGCTCTCACTCTCATTAAATCATTCACACATGCTTTGTGTGGCGGGAGTGCCTGTCCTGCCCTCAGTCTTGCTCTGCCCAGGGTCACACATCCACATTTTGCGCTGTGTGATTTGCTGCATAAGGTCCCTCTCCCTTCCCAAACTCAGAGGTCTTAAACACACACCACTGTTTTTCCCAAGTCTTTCTCTTTTTACAGTACTGGGGCAAAACTCGCCATGCCTACAGACAGGATTCCCTGTAAATTCCACAACATGGCAGAAATCTGCCTTTCTCTCCTCAGCCTCTTGTTTCTTTCATTCGCCCTGAACTAAAACGGGTGCAGCACTGCCCCTCGGATCGATGCACTGCTCATATTTCCTGAAGGCAGCAGGACACAGATGAAAACCGGAAGGATCCTTTGTTTCTACACGGTGGGATTACGTTCACGCTATCTGCTCCCAGACCAACCCTTTAGGGAGGAAGCAGAAGTGTCTTCCGACGCGTTGGATTGTTAATGAGAGTCTGATCAAACACGTCAGGGATTTGCAGTCACTCAGGCAGCAGCAGGAGCTGGTTTTCTGCCAAGCACTCCTGAGCATTGTCCCAGACCCACTGTCATCCTCCTCCTGGGGTATCCTCAGGAGCTGAATCCCAGCCACATCAGGGATATTTATCCAGCTAACACCAGGAACAAACTCGTCCCCACGAAGTGCACCATCAGGGATAAATTCCTCTCTACCTCAGGAACAGCCTGACTTGTACCAAGGCTACCTGGATGGAAAGCTGTGTATGGGGTGAGCTGCCTGTGTCCACACTTCCTCCTCAAACAGCTCCACTTTTGCTGCCAGGTTTCTAAATCCTCCATAATCACCGAGTTTTCCTGTAGTGGTGAGAAACATAGTACACTGGCATGAAAGAGCATCAAGCCCTCAGAAATAAATGAGGTTGTGGAGGATCCGGACCCCAGTGAACCACGCCAGGACTCCAGCACCACCTCAGTTGCTTTCCACAGGTGCTGCACCACCAGCAGTCAGCTGACAGAAATCATGAGGCTCCCTAAAGTAGGCTTCAGGGATTAAATAAAGCTCAAGGGTAATCCAGGTGCATTCAAAATGAGCACTTTAACAGCCTCCAGGTGTGTGCTGTTGTACCATCTCCTGGAAGGCAGCAAAAATTCCAGCTGCTATGAAAGAACACACTTCTTGTGAGGAGCTGAGCTTCCTTGGTGCTGCATCACATTCTCTCTCTCCCCTTCTTCAGTCTCCTGTTCTTTCATTTCTTGGTTTTCCTGGTACCACCTATCAGCAACTCAGAGTTTTGGAAGAGAGAAAGAGAGAATATACTGACATTTTAGGACACAGCCAAAAAATGCCTGTGGGCCAGAGGCTGCTAATGTCCCAGTCAACCTGAACAAGACCCACCGTAGTTCTGTGCCTTGGTGTTCTACAAGCATAAGCAAACACACAGAATGGATTTCCTATTCCCATAAATCTTTTACATTCCTCTAGAGCTCAGCACCAGTGGAAAACACCTGGGTGCTCATTAGCCTGAACAAAGTCACGTGGTTCTCAGAACTGTGTGTGGCACATAAGCAGCTTGCACTTCAGTCATTTCAGGCACTTTTCATTTTAAAACACTCCATTAAAATGCTTTCACTGTAAATACTCATAGTTTGAGCTAAGGTTTGCTTGTTATTCAACTCTTTCAGCAGAGAACTAAGACCAACTATAATGTCTGCAAAGTCTCATCCGAAGTGGAGATTGATTCAAAAAACCAGCCCAGGCCTCATGAGGCTCTGGGTTTCAACAGGAAAAGTAATATTTCCACCTGCCAGGTTCTGTGAAGAGACATGGGCCCAAGGTACTGTGCCTGAGCTCGAGTGATATCAAAACCTGATAGGGCAAGGTCAAACCCATGTTTGTGTTTCTCTCTATGCTGCAACTTGAGTTAATAAACATTCAAATTTGGCTGGAAAAGTCACACATGTAAGCCAACTTCTTGCTCATTCACTGAAGCCAGGCCTTCCCCTGAGGGTTTACACCTCTGCAAAACTTGTACCCTTAGGACAGAAGGAAACTGGACAAAGGGAGCAGTAAGTGCAGCTCTGTGCTCCCCTTGATGTTCTCAACTTCATCATCTGCAACTCGCTGCTTACTCTCTGGGCTATCAAGCAAGCAACAAAGGAGTGTTAAGGAGAAATCTCAGCGCATTTCCACTACTATCTGTATATATGTAACCATATATACAAAAAATATCTAATACATATATAAAAATATAATATAAATGTATAAATATATAAGAATGTATAAATACATAATAATGTATACATATATACACATGGTTAATTCTTGTTATCTCACCTCCATTTTTGATATGAGAATGTTAGAGTCTTAAAAAGTTAGCAATAAAAGTGTTGAAATAAACTTTTATCAGTTTAAACCTGACTCAAAGAGTTCTGCATCTGTTTGAGAAGGAGAATTTACTGTGTGGGGGAAAATGAGCAGGAAAACTCAAAAATCTCTGTAAAATACTCGGCTATAAAATATTAGCTTTAGAAGTTTTGGAAAAAGTCTACGGAATACACCCTGAGGTATTCACAGCTTCCCTGCAAGAACAGGGAAAAGCAATGAGTTTTTCCTTTAGCCAAAAGCTGAATGGAGTTGAACAGAAAATGTGTTTCACAGTTTGGCTCATAGCTCAGCTTTCAGCTGTTATAGCTGAAATTAAAATCACTTCACTAACTTTTGCAGCTTTTTGCAGCTACCAAAATCTTGCACAGCCCAATCACTGCAGCTGTGCAGCACGTGGATTCCAGGGGCACCAGGAACAAATCCATGGGAGGATGAAAGTTCTCTTTGCAGATCATGTTCAAGGCTGAGGATGCACATCAGGATATGAATTCAGCTGCTGCTTTTGAAATGCAGAGCAACTGCAAGGAAGTAATTCACCCTCCGAGGGTGTGAGCACCATTCCACGGAAAAAGGCTGGCATTGTGCTATTTCTAAAAACTGTCATGAACTTTGGACACTGCTACAGTTGCTCTGTTTTCACATGCTGCAGCCACTAAGAGCAGGATTTCTGGAAGCCTCCCCAAAGCTGTGCTTACATGAGGTTGCTCAAACATCACAGTTGAACCACATCTCTGCTGGGCACTGGTGACTAGGTGCCACACACAACCAGTAATCTCCACACCTCTAAGGCCAGAAAACCAGAGCAGGTGGGGAGCAGGGAGAGCACAAATTCAACAGCTAACACCCCCAAGTACCTTCATGCAGGTTTTGCTGCCCAGAAGGGAGAGAAGTGCCCTTAGAGGCCACAAGCAAGAATAAAGCCCCTTCTCTCCACCTTTTCCTTGCTGCCGCTGCCCCTGGAAGGGAAACTGCTCACACACATCCTGACACACAGCAAAAACATGTGCAGGTTCATATTCCAACTGGGATCCTCCTGGTACCTGCTTCCTCTACGGACTTCTGTATTGCTTCTGCTAGTTCCTGGTCTGCGATCTCCTCCGGCCGCATGTCTTCCCGCCCAGCGCCGTAGGCCAGCCGGGCACACTCCGGGAGCTCTCCCTCCGGCAGGAACGAGGTCTGTGAGCCCGTCGTGCCGATCACTAGGACATTCTTCTTGAGATCAATTGAACACTGTGAAAGAGCATCGAGACATCAGGGACCTGTGACAGCCAGCCAGTTCTCATGGAAAAAAAAGGAGAAACAAGGTTAGACAATCCATTTCCAATGGGAACAGCTCACAGCAGGTAAGGCTGGGCCAGGAGCATCAGCTCTAAGCAAAGGGCTCTGTATGACTTGTATTAAACCATTCAGTTGGAAAGCTCTGAGCATTTCTGATTAGAGCAAAAAGCTTCAGGCAGCAGCCAGATATCCTAGTGCTGTCCATGATGGATGTAATGTATGTGCTTCCTTCATATCAGGATCCAAGAATATCCGCCCTCAACTCTCCCTACTGAGCCCATGTTGCACTTTGCACTTAACCTGGAAGAGCCGTAACTGTTTCCAGAGAGGTTTTGATACCTGATGCCTCTTAAGCATATCCAGTCCTAGGAGCATGTCCATGGGCTGCTCTTCAAGGATTGAGAAGGAGCATGCCAGGAAATCCCCTTCAATCTGCACCTGAGCTGAAACACAAGGGAGAGAAGTTGCCACTACAGCACAACACATCTGCTTTCTGCTCCTGTACCTCCTGGGAAAGGTATGGGTACATCTGAAAGCAGAGCTCTGACACACTGCTCTGTTCACAGGAAGCCCAGCCCTGTGCCAGCCCCAGGACTGCCAGGCCTGCCTTGGCCCCAGGTGAATTATTTTAAAGCTGACATGCTCTAGAGCCTTGAGCACTGCTTCTCTGACCCGCCAAGCTGAAAGGGCCATGAACACCACATTAGAGCACAAGTCTAAGCAGCAATGACAGCAGACAGAATCGATTTTTCAGTAACAAGGACAATCTTCTCTTGTTCAGAAAAGCACAGAGAGGTTTCTCTTCCCAAAAGGACAGCAAACACTGCATTGTGCTGGAACTCTTCCTGTGCAACTCACACTGCCCAACAGTCCCACTCCACACATGAGAGCTCGTGGTGTTTCACATTCACCTTAGGTTTTACACCCAGAGAACACGGTCTCTATGTCTGCAGGAGCTGGGGACTCCCTCACCTCAAAGTGCTAAGGCAATGCCATTAAAGAAGCATTAAGTTAGACAGAAGCCAGAGATCTGTGTCCGAGACAAACACACACATTGCACATGTGCTTTTATTTTACTCTGTGGGAGCTTCCAACAATTGCAGCACCAACCCAGACACTCCTCAGTCCAAGGCTGTGGGAGATGCACTCACACCTCTGATAGAGCTGCCCCAAAAGTGCCAGTACTTACCTAAGTGCACTCTGCCAATTATTTTCTGTGTCCCTACACCTTTAGCGATTCCAGCCCACCGCCGATCTACCAGTCTCATGATGTTGCACCTTTCAGCACAGGCTTGGCTCATGATGGTCATCTGGGCACCTACCAGCAGCAAAATTGGTGTTAAATCCCAATGGCTGAGCACAAATTTCAATTATCTCCTGGAAGAGCTGAAGATCTGGCACTCAGCAGCTGAGAAACCAGCCTGCCTGCCCCAAGGCATGAAGACTTCCCGTGAATCCCACTGTGCTGACACAGATCAGCACTGACCATCACAGTACAGATGGAACAACCCCAAGAACATCCCCTCTGAGGCTGTGGATGGGAACCACCACATCAAAGGTACGTGAAACGGCCGTCTGCAAAATGAGATAAAACACACACGTGGCAGCAACCTTCCAGGCATGGGAGCCCCAGAAACTCTCACAGGAACCCTGATCTGGAGTGTTCATGCTGTACACATGCTGTTTCTCTCAGAAGTTTGCTCTGTCCACCTCTAACCACGCCCAAGCTGGGCTTAGGTTTAATTAGGTGCTTCAAAGTGGTGTCATTACAGGATTTTGGGGGGAAACTACTGTTTACTGTCACACTCACTGAGGGAAAGGACAGCACAGAGAAAGATGAAAATGGGGCAATTCACCTGAGTCCACGAAGGCTTTCACTGGGTGTCCGTTGACTTTGCAGTTGATATACAGCATCACCACCTGCCCAAAGCTCTCAGGAGCCTCTTCCATTGCTATCGTCATGTTCTCTTCGATGTTTTGTTGCCTGAATTTCATGGAGAAGAGAGAAAAATTGGAATTTCTATCAGCCAGACCTTGTATCATCCTTCTGACTCACAGACCAATCTGGAAATCCCACCTGCTGCCTCTCACCTTACACTCGTTTAAACTATGGCAAGAGCTGTGCTTCCCTAGTTAATACAGGCCTTGGAGCTGAGAGATTGCTAGGAATGATCTTGGCTTAGTCCAGAGACACCAAGTTACTCCCCGCTGCTCCTTCCAACACCTGCCTAACTCACACCTCAGCTCCCAGTGACCTTGTGCTTGCGCCAGGAACCTGCCAGCACAGCGTTAACTTGGAAAACTTGCAAGCAAAAACCTGCACGTTCATTATTCACAGTAAGGGCACAGAGAGATGTTGCCAGTAGCTACCTCGCTGGAATCCCACACAGTAGCTGAACACTGCAATCCTCCACTTTCCCTGGCATCTTTCCTTTTCCAGGCATAGGAGGGGAGGGAGGTGAGCAAAACCACAGCAAGAACATCACCATGAGCACAAGCCCTTGGTGCAAATTCAAGCTGACAGAGGAAATGCTCTTCAAGAAGCCCCTCATGACCACAGGATGATCTTGGAAGTATCCATATAGTGACTGCATCTGAAATGGCTTTACCTCCCAAAAAAAGGGAAAACAGCTCCAATTTTGATGCCATTTCATTTTTCTCTAAGTGGGGTGTGAAATCCAGGGACTGCTTGAGCCCAAAGTGTTCCCTAACAGCTGCACAGCCTTGGGCACATCCCCTTTATCTGTCCCTGATCTGTGGAAGAAGGGAAGCATTCCTGTGCCCCAGCAATGTTTCACTACCTATTACATCTGTTTTCTGCATTCCTGAGCGTTTATCCAGCACCAACACCTTGTCGGCCACAATGTGAGAATGACTCTTATCACCATTTTGGTTACGACCAACGATGAGTCTGTACCAGACAGACTTTGTTATCGGGCGGGGGGAACCACCAGTCATGTTCTGACTCAAGGATTTATCACTCCATTTAAGAAATCAAGCCTGAGCTCAATGCAATTACATCTGGAAGGCAGCAAGGGGGAGGGAGCTGATGAGCAGAATGTATCTCTGCAGAACATCTCTCCAACAGCAGTAATGTCCAGAGTCTGGAACCAGCCAGAGACACAGAACAATTAGCAGGATGAGAAACCAAATCTTGAGGGCGTCTGTGAGAAATGATGTCACACTGCTGTGCAGAGCTCAGATGAGAGCACAGCTCTCAGGTTGAAAACACACCTGAGGCACTCGAGTTCCACCTCTCGTGAGGAGATATGCATTCCACAACTTCAGAGCAGATCGATTCAGACAGCTCCAGGACATGGGGAGAGTGGCGCTGCCACCACAGAATCACAGAAGCCCAGACTGGTTTGGATTGGAGGCACCTTAAAGCGTGTCTTGTTCTAACCCCTGCCATGGACACCTTACACTAGGCCCAGGTTGCTCCAAGCCCCATCTAACCTGGCTTTGGACACTTCTAAGGATGGAGCAGCCACAGCTTCTCAGGGCAACCTGTGCCAGTGCCTCAGCAGCCTCAGAGGGAGGAATATCTTATCTGTGCTCAGCTGGACACATCTAAAGGACGGGGCGCACCTACACATTCCCGAATCCCAACCTTCCCACATGCAAAGGTGGACCAGAGCATCACCCTGCAAGCAAACCTGTCTTGATACAAGGAGTGTGTTTAGATTCTGCCTTCTCCAAGGAAAAACCAATATGGATGGGAGAACACAGTGGGTTTTTTCCCCCAGGGTAGATCCCCAAAGCCTGCAAGGCACTTTGGTTTGTTACCTTATGTCTTCTTCTATCTTGGCCTGTGCCTCAAGATCAAAGGGGTCAGCGGAATAGAGTCGGATCCTCTCCTGCTCCCGTCGGGCTCGATCCTGCTGTTGCTCCAGCAACACCCTGGTGAATTTCTCTGTGGGAACAAGGAGATACAGAAATGCTTTTTACTGGAAATTGCTCTTACAAATCAAGTTCTGGCACAGCAAATGCTTTTGATGCCAGCAAGCACCCGGGGTAGACTCAGCAGCACACAGGAAAAAGCCTCTGAGGGCAGCACAGATGGACCTCAAAGGATCGATCAGTGGCAAATTTGGGAACCTGCTGAGATGAAAAGCAACTGGACAGAGCTCATTTTCCTTGTGTCTGCTACCCAAAGGCTGCACAATCACCTCAGTTTCCTGGCACAGACATTTTCATAATAGTTAAAGCCTAACAACAAAACTTCCTTCAAACCCAAGGAACATGGGCAAGGTCAGATATTATAATCCATAAAGGTGAACAGCTACCACTGGAATCAGGAGCCCCTAAGCAGAACCAGTCTAGCCACGTGTTTTAAGACCACAGTTTTTACATCCCCACTTTTTTGATGGCCTCTTGCTATTTTTTACTCCTTGGATGGGATCATGCACATCCTCAAAAGGGCCATCAGCAAAGGTCTGTACACACAGAGGGTTGTGGGTTTGCTTCCAGAGACGCAGTTCCCAAGAAGCACCTCTGGCTCAAAGGCTGCTGCATGCTCAGGGAGGCAGTGGGGATGTTTTGCTGTTTGTCTTTGTGACATTAGACTTCTGCATAGCACAGCACAGTCACAGGGTACGGAGCTATGTGGGCATTTGGGAATCAGAGCTGAGCTGAACTGGATGTGTGCCCAAACATCAACAGGAACAGCAGGACAGCACAACGAGGGCATAACTAGACCAAGCTACCTCCTCCTGACAGCCCACCATGGCCGTTTGGGATAGGAAATGCACATCTGGGTCAGTCTGCTGTGCACAAGACATGGCAGAGCGCCAGGTGAGCCAGTTTTGGGTGTCTTGGGCTTAACCTCTGGTCTCCTGTGCCAAGAGCAGCACCTCTGCTCAAGGAGGAGGGAAGAACTCCCAGCAAGAAGTGTGAACAAGCGTGAAAGCGCAAAGAACATGGTTTTAACTCCGGATATGAACTGAAATCAGAACTAAAAATTAAGTAGGCTGACAATATCCATGGAAGTTCCTTCTGGCTTCCTCTGACAGAGAAAAAACACTTAAATATAACTTTGAAAGTGGGAAAAGAAGTCTCCTGCTAGAAGCAACTTCATTCATTTCTCCAAACTCAACAGCATTTATTTCCCAAGTAAATATCCTGAAGAGGTTCAGAAGCACATGTGGGTACCCAAACCCTGTTCTTTTCACACCAAAAGGACACCAGAGTTCAAAGCTTTCATCAAACAAGGGACCAACACCAGCTGTTCACCTGCAGAGGAAGCAAAGGACATGGTACAAGGCTTCAACTGTGCCCAAAACACATGAACACTTCCAAGATTAACAAACACTGACAAATTCATGACTATTCCTATCAAAAAAGCTCCCTAAAGACACTACCTGTGTGTTCCTTTTCCTCTCCCTTTCTGAGGTTCACTTCCACAGCAGCTAATCACTATCCACAGAGCTGGTTTTGGAGTGTGCTGCTCTCTGCTGAGATGCAGCAAACACACCACCTTTATTGGAAACATGGATTTGGGAGAGTCTTAGCAGAAAAATCAGGAGCTGAGTCACTCATGTTCACAGACCTGACTTATCTCTGCATCCAATATCTCACAGCAGGGAACAGAGGATATTAAAGATGCCAAGCAGGAGAAATATGCCCAGAAATAGAGGAACTCTGCCTTAAGTGCTCCCAACTGGCACCTTTTATCCACAGCATTGAGCTGGCACCACGTCCTAGCTCGTTAAACACCTCGGGCTGCCTTTGATCAGAACCGACCTCAAACAGCCCCAGCCCAGCTCACCCAGGTCCCCACTCAGCAAGGCCTCCGCCAAGGGCGGGTTGCGCTCCTTCAGCAGGGACAGCTCGTGGGGGTTGGCCAGCAGCATCTCCCGCAGCAGCGCCGGGTTGTCCAGACCCTGAGGGAACGACGGGGCATCCAGAGGCGACGGGCGTGGACGCTGCGCCGGGGGCCGGTGCTGCTGCGTGGACGTCCCAGGAACAGCAATGCTGCTGAAGTCTATCCTTGGCAGACCTGGAGGGAGGAGGATCAGAGGTGTTGGTGCTTCATGGTTACAATTCTGCTGGAAAACCACAGGAAGGATGAGATGCTCTTAATGCCGCATTAGAGTGGACTCCGCGAGCAGCAGCGGTGTTGGGAGCGCACCGCGTCCCCGGGTTAGTGGGTTAGGAACGCTGCCGCGTGTTTATGTAACTGGTATCATCTGTCTGCCCCATTTTTAATCCCCTGAAATGCACTTGCTGACTGGTTATTCCCAGCCTCACAGACGTGAATCCCTCTCGGAGGGACTGCAGGGCTAAACCCAGTGGCTCTGAAGCACTTCAGAATCTCTCGGGTTAAAAAAAAGCAGGAGAAAAAAAAAAGTAGTACCATTCCTGCAGACCTGCATTGCAGGTACCCATCCTCCAGCTGAGGCAGGATGAGGACCTCAGCAATGCTCCCACGCCCTTCTCAGCCAGTGGCACCTCTTCAGTGCTATTTTATGACCCGGATTTGCTAGGAATGGCTGTGGAAGGTAGGACAGAGGCGCAGGGTTCCGCTCAGACATTACCAGGGGAGCCTTTCACATGTACGCACAATTGCGCCACTGCTTTGGTAAGAAGTGGCTTCTCAGGGAACTGGTCACAAGACAGGTTCAGGCCATACATCCACAGCAGCTGTTCCTGTGCCTGAGCTGCAGAGATCACACACAACTGTGCCATCATGCCCAGTGGGAAGGGAACCAGTGGATGTACGAGAACTCACACACACCAAAACTGCTGTGCATCAGTCACCCTCATTACTGACTCCGCATTCCCCACAACTCTATAATGGCATTGGCTTCTTTGGAATAACAAACACTAAATAAGAAGCCCTTTAGCTAACTAAAAGCCTTCTGCCTCATCTCGCCACCCTCCCTTCCACAGCACTGTGCCCGGCGAGGTGCTAAAGGAGCCTGACAGGATTGGTGTTGGATTAGTACTGATGAATCCCAGCAGGCTCGGAACAGAAGCTGGCACAGGCCCTTTCTCACCTGGAAAGCGGATAGAAGGCCGCGGCTCCACCGTCTCCTTCTGACGCAGGATCACCACATCCCCGTCCTTCAGGCCATAGGAAGCCAAGGACCTGTTGTTGTCAGTCAGAGGCCGCTCTGCATAGACAATCTGTTTGTGGAGGGAGCACGATGAGAACCACGACAACAAAGCAGAGAAGCATTTTACAAATGCAAGATGTAATTTTTTATAGGAAAAAAAGCATTCCAGCATGTCCTGTGGATCCATCTCAGGCTTCAGAAGGAAAGGTGTGCTGTTCTCACAGGCCTGGCCAACGCGCCTCGGCCTCAAGGCACAGCAAGGCCTCAACACGTACACAGTTGGTCTTGCCGAAATCCAGCAGTGGTTTCGTGAAATCAGCACCTCAGAGAAGGGCTTGGTCTGCCCTAATCAGAGGCCAAGATCTTTAAATGAAAGC